TTTGTTAACTAATAAAGTACATTTAAATCCATTCTGGTTGTTTGCTTTCATTTCGTTATAATTTCTAACCAATCTCATTGAATTTATCTTAATTTTAATTAGAATACTTTAATCTTCTTAAATTTATCTTTTTTTTCGACAAAAACAAAAGATAATTTGCGAAGGTGTTGAGCCTCGAGGGACACCATTTATATTTGATACATTTTCATAATTTCCAGTTTTTTTTTTGTTTTTTTATGATGTTTAGATACTTGTATTTAATTTTATTGTATTCTCTATTAATTTGGTTTAAAATCCTTTTTAATACTAACATTTCTTGATTTTCTCATTAAAATTGAAAGCATTCATGAATCATCCATTATTTTCTTTTTCAGCTCTAATTGCGAAGGGGAAATGTTTGGTAATGCAAATCCAAGTGAACGAATTCAATGCAGATCATGCCTTCTTTTACTACATTCAATATAATCCAAGCAATCAGATCTTGTTTGCAGGAAAAGTGAACAACTTTAATCAATGAATATTTAATAAAAAATATATGTATATTTATTATGTAACTTTAATTTCAAAGAAAAAGGTTTCTTTAATGAATAAACTAATACACTTTGTTAACTAATAAACTACATTTAAATTCATTCTGGTTGTTTGTTTTCATTTCGTTATAATTTCTAACCAATCTCATTGAATTTATCTTAATACTTATTTTAATTAGAATACTTTAATCTTCTTAAATTTATCTTTTTTTTTTCGACAAAAACAGAAGATAATTTGCGAAGGTGTTGAGCCTTGAGGGAAACCATTTATATTTGATACATTTTCATAATTTCCAGTTTTTTTTTTGTTTTTTTTCATGATGTTTAGATACGTGTATTTAACTTTATTGTGTTCTCTATTAATTTGGTTTAAAATCCTTTTTAATACTAACATTTCTTCATTTTCTCATTAAAATTGATAGCATTCATGAATCATCCATTCTTTTCTTTTTCAGCTTTAATTATGAAGAGGAAATGCAGGATAATGCGAATCGAAGTGAACGAATTCAATGCAGATCATGCATTCTTTTACTACATTCAATATAATCCCATCGATCAGATCTTGTTTGCAGGAAAAGTGGACAACTTTGATGAATGAATATTTAATAAAAATAATATGTATATTTATTATGTAACTTTAATTTCAAAGAAAAAGGTTTCTTTAATGAATCAACTAATAAAATACATTTAAATCCATTCTGGTTGTTAGTTTTCATTTCGATATAATTTCTAACCGTTCTCATTGAATTTGTCTTAATACTAATTTTTATTAGAATACTTTAATCTTCTCAATTTTATCATTTTTTTTTTCGACAAAAACAGTAAATAATTTGCGAAGGTCCCAGTGTTGAGCCTCGAGGGACATCATTTATATTTGATTTATTTTCATAATTTCCATTGTTTTTTCTTGTAATTCCAAATGTTTAGATACGTGTATTTAACTTTATTGTATTCTCTATTAATTTGGTTTTAAATCCTTTTCAAAACTAACATTTCTTGATTTTCTCATTAAAATTGAAAGCATTCATGAATCATCCATTATTTTCTTTTTCAGCTTTAATTATGAAGAGTAAATGCAGGATAATGCGAATAGAAGTGAACGAATTCAAAGCAGATCATGCCTTCTTTTACTACATTCAATATATTCCAAGCGATCAGATCTTGTTTGCAGGAAAAGTGAACAACTTTGATCAAAGAATATTTAATAAAAAAATATGTATATTTATTATGTAACTTTAATTTCAAAGAAAAAGGTTTCTTTAATGAATCAACTAATAAAATACATTTAAATCCATTCTGGTTGTTAGTTTTCATTTCGATATAATTTCTAACCGTTCTCATTGAATTTGTCTTGATACTAATTTTAATTAGAATACTTTAATCTTCTTAAATTTATTTTTTTTTTCGACAAAAACAGTAAATAATTTGCGCAGGTTCTAGTGTTGAGCCTCGAGGGACATAATTTATATTTGATTTATTTTCATAATTTCCAGTTTTTTTTATGTAATTTATGATGTATTCTTATTGAAATTGAAAGCATTAATGAATCATCCATTATTTTCTTTTTCAGCTGGAATTAAGAAGTTGAAATGCTCGGTATTGCAAATCGAAGTGAACGAATTCAAAGCAGATCATGCCTTCTTTTACTACATTCAATATATTCCGAGCGATCAGATCTTGTTTGCAGGAAAAGTGGACAACTTTGATCAATGAATATTTAATAAAAAAAGTATATATATATATATTTATTATGTAACTTTAATTTCAAAGAAAATGGCTTCTTTAATGAATAAACTAATACACTTTGTTAACTAATTGTTTCGACAAAAACAAAAGACAATTTGCTAAAGTCCAAGTGTTTTATTTTTGTTTATTTCTTTTTAACATTGATTTTTAGATTTTTTTTGTTCAAAATCTTTACTTACACGTATTTTCCTTATAAAATTTGTTTTAAAATCCTTTTAATACTAACATTTATTGTACTGAAACTGAAAGCATTGATGAATCTTTCTCTCTTTTTCAGCTAAAAATAAGAAGGGGAAGTCACTCATGTCTAAGGTTATCGAAATCATCAAATTCAATGCAGATCATGCCTTCTTTTACTCCCTTCAATATAAACCCAGCGATCAGATCTTGTTCGCAGGAAAACTGGATAACTTTAATGCTTGAACTTATTTCTTATATTAAACTTCAATGTATATAAATATTAAGTTTAAGAAAAATGTGTTTTTGGACTGAATAAAAACTTGAATTAATTAATTGAGAAAAGTTTTCATCATTTTCCTTAAAATTCTTACTCATAGATAAATCATCAATTTTCATTTTATTTTTTATTAAATTTAATACTTGAAAATTTGTTGCTTTTAGTGTGGTTAAATTTAAATTGAAAACAATTTTGCATTGCTTCCAACCAAAAGTTCCTGCTCTTAGGGAAAGTCGACGATTTTGGTAAAAGTTGTTGCACCACAGCTTAATGAGATGTAACAACTGCTAGATTCGAAATTATTAAATCTTATTTGACAGTTGTTGCAGGTGTACCAACGAAAATAACACTCAGTTGATAGCTGTGTAATCTCATGATAGTTTAAATAAAATGACAGCTACATGACAGCTCATGACAAGTATACCAACTTCTGTCATAATATGTAGATATTTCTTAAGTATTATTACAAGTTGTAATCAGATCAATTCAATTCAAGACAACGGAAGTTACTTGTCAAGTTGCGCGTAATGTTACTACACCATATCACTTATAACTTAAAATAAAATCATGTGTTTCAAAACAAACGCTCATAAAACAATTGAACAACTAAACAACTACCCAAAACTATATAAAGTTGCTGTTAAAATCCTCAATTTCCTTACTTTAAGAAAAACTACAATTTTTTTTAACAATTATTGTTGTTTGTTTTATTTTTACTTCATATTCATCGAGGATTCGATCATATTTTTCATAGAAAAAATCAATGAATTTTATATATTTTATTCTTAGTAAACCAATAATGTAATTGTTATGTATTAATTACATTATTCATTAATAATGTGATCATCAGAAATTCATGAACATATGTGTTTGTTTCTTATTAAAATAAAATCTACATGAGTCAAAGCTTGTTGTTTTCGTTGCCAATTAAAATAATCGTGGGTTTATATTTAAATGTGAGTAATTGGGAAAGATAAGCCAATTTTTGTTATAATTCCGACAAAACATGTTAATCAGACGTTGAGAATGTTGGATTTGGTGTTTGTTTTCTGTTAGATGTTGGGAATTTCCCGTAAGGTTATCGAAAATGAACGCATTTTTAAAGAGAATTATTTGATTTACATAGTATACATTGCATAATGTTTGCAGTTAAGCAATACACGTTCAGAGTTAATGTAAATTCGTACAAGTACCTTTGGCGCCATCTATGAACGCTCTTGCAACGATTTTAAAAATAAATATTAGTGTCAATATTTAGTGGACGTACATTTGGTTGCCTAATAAATATTTCAAATAATTTTATCTGTAAGGTCAATAATTAAAATTATCATTAAACATTATATGAAGTAATTATTTTGAGAATTCTTTGATTTACATTGTAAACATTACAAAATGTTTGTAGTTTCGCGCTTTTGTAACGATTTTAAAAAGAAATATTTTTGTAGATTTGTCAATTTTTAGTTGACGTACATTTGGTTGCCTAATAAAAATTTCAAATAATTTTATTTGTAAAGTCAATAATTAAAATTATCATTAAACATTATACAAAGTAATCATTTTTATAATTACTAACGTTTATGATTATAGACTAATTGTTTTGTAACTATTGACCTTGTTCATTTGGTTGCCTGTCACAGTTAATTTAAAAATCAGGTTTATTGGCGTTTTGTTAATGAAATATCCAAAAACAGAACATTTTGTACTGAATTATAAGTATTTTGGGATGATATTTAACAGATAGTCACAAGTAAATCTTTAGTAAGAGAAAATTTATTTACAAGATCTAATAGGCAGGATTTCCAAACTCTTACGATAATTCATCGATTTCCAAAGAGAAAAACAAAAAGATTGGAATGGAAAATGAAAAAAAAACGAGCAGAACGAACAAAAAAAATAATAAATTAGACTATTAATTATGTACAGGAATTCGCGTTCGATTCCAAAAGTATTGTCGGACCTAATCAATAATTAGCAGAATTAGTAATTAAAAAAAAACAAATCAATTAATAATAATAATATCAGTATAAAAAGAAAATAAACTAACTGCAGGAAACAGTACAAAAGTATATACAAAACATACTATTAGAATAAATATTATTGTGAAAATCAATAAATAATAAAGTTGGTGTATACTCTCCTATACAAATTACAAAAAGAAAATAAACGAATTGAGCTTTAACACTTAAGATTTTCGCTATACGTTAAGTATTCATTTTGATTAATTCTTCATTTGTACAAGAGCGTACTTTCTAAAATATTATTATTACTTTTTTTTTGGTCTCATCCATACAGTTTAGATTTACAAATGGGTGTACAACAAACAGAACAGAGAGGATGTTTCGGACGTTAAAACGAAATGCGCGGGAAATTTAAACAATAATTCAGATGGGTTTTTAAGATTTAGTCCTTCAGTGGAACTGTGATCGCGATGACTTCAGCTTTGGCCTGTGCCTCTTCCTCCTTGCTCTTTCGGAAGAGCAACGGGAACATTCCTAGCAGACAGCCGACGGTCACTCCTAAAACCCTGCCAAGGTTTGCGAAGTTCCTCGATCTCGGCATGTCCATCTGCATGGGACTCAGTTTCGGTGGATTGAAGCCGATCCTGTTCGCAAGACGTTCCACGTAGAAGGCGGTGCCTATACCGAGGACGTCGGAGAAGGTGTTCCCCAAGGCGGCGGCTGCCATCGTCGACATGCAGAAGTACGAACCTAGGTATAGGTCAATATAATCACCCTGCAAAAAGAAAGAAAAAAACATGAAAATATAAGTTCATGTAACATGGAAGGATTTTATAACAAATTTAAGTCTACAGACAAATTTATTAGCGAAACTGTAAGGATTTCTAAAAATTACTTGTAGCAAAACTAAAATCAATTTGTAAAAACTATAAAAATAATATCTGTGGTCAATACTAATATTATAATCGCGCGACCTAATATTTTTTTTTGTTTTTGTACTGTGATCCAAATTATTTTGACACTGACAACTGTTAAAATAACATTTTTGCCTGTATTTGTACTGACGTAAGGTGACAGCTGTCACATAAGTTATGTAAGGTGACAGCTGTCACATAAGGTTATGTAAGGTGACAGCTGTCACATAAGGTTATGTAAGATGAAAGCTGTCATTTCGAAACACATTAAACATTTCCAAGGTTGGGAAACGCTGCTGTTGACTGTGCAGTCTCAGAGGTTCTGATTAATAATTAATTATTTTCAGGAGGACGTTTGTTTGTTTTAATTATGAAAAACATTTCAGGTTTGAAACATTTAATTATGAATGGACAGAATTCGGCTCCGTTCCATTAGATTTAATTGAGTGGCACGACTGCACCGCAGCGCGAGGTGTAATTGGACCGGCTTTCGGCAAATTCCTCGCCGCGTCCTTGGACAACGACCAAAAACATTGAATAATGTAATGCCGAAAAGTAATTGAATTTTACACGAAACCGCATTTACGAGATCCTTTATAATTCAGAGCGTAATACTACCTATATTAATTGCGTTTCTTCTTATATTTGTTTGTCTTCTAAAATGGGTTTTTGTTCTCATGGAAATATAAGAAAATTTAATAGATTCTCAAGTATGATGGATTAACTGTCCGTGTCTTAAAGATCGTCGGGGAGGAAACGTGGGATGTGTGAGATGAAAAGCGTTCAGTGATTTGAATAGGAAAGTTAAGTGTATATCGTGCGAGAGGCTCCAGTCTTGGCACTTTTGTGCACGAGAATTGTGTCTTACCGAAATGATCTCCCATTTCCTAACTTAATGAGAAATACTATATATTTTCCCTTTGTAATATCTGTAAGTTATTTAAGCTTCAACAGCTTTAGTTTAAGAACCATATTACTGCCTTGTTTTAAGTGTTATTTAATTGTGTTGTATTATATCTGTCATTTAATTGTCAACTGTTATTTAATTAAATGAAAACTGACAGCAATGCTACTTTTATGACAGATTTAATAAATTAGATGATTGTTGTGTTACATAAATTGAATAATTAGATAATCAAAACTATGCAAATGTCAAATGGAAATTGACAGTAATGCTACGTTTATGACAGCTTTAATAAATTAGATGATCCAGGATTTACATAAGAAGAAAATTAGATAATCCAAACTATGCAAATGTCAAATGAAAATTGACAGTAATTCTACATTTATGACAGATTTAATAAATTAGATGATTGTGGAGTTACATAAATTGAATAATTAGATAATCAAAACTATGAAAATGTCAAATGGAAATTGACAGTAATACTACGTTTGTGACAGCTTTAATAAATTAGATGATCCAGGATTTATATAAATAAGAAAAATAAACGATCCAAAGTATGCAAATATCAAATCGAAATGCTACTTTATGACAGATTTAATAAATTAGATGATTCTGGAGTTAAATTAAAGAATTAGATGATCCAAACTATGTAAATGTCAAATAGAAACTGACAATAATGCTACTTATATGACAGATTTAATAAATTAGATGATCCTGGAGTTACATAAATCATATGGAAACGCATAGTTGTCAAATAAAAATTGACAGTAACGAGATTTTTATGAAAGCTGTAATAAATTTAAAAAAAAACTGATTAATTATTTAAGATACAAACTTAAATATTTGTAAATTTCCATACTCAAAAGGATCAAATAAAAAATTAAAAATATTGCAAATACAAATTTGTAAATTAATAATACAAATTATATTTTATAGCTTTAAAGCAGATGATGATGATGATGAAAACAAACACGATTTTGATTCTACTAATTTTAGGGATCTAAGCTTCGATAATGTTTCTTTCACGCTGGTTGGATTACGTCCAAATATAATAAATAATATCCAGCAAAATAAGTAAAAAAAAGAGATAAGCTTGGAAAAATAACGAGAAAACAAAAAAACTGGATAACGTTGAAAGTATTAAAGTGGTTTCTATATCGTACAAAACGCTGCACACTATAGTGTTTTCTCATGTAAATTCAGTTCTACACAAATTTACCAAACACAGTTTAATATAGGAGACTTTTATATAAAAAAATGATTCAAGAATCATTTTTTTTATAGCAAAAAAGTAATAAATTATGAAAATTACTATATATTTAAAAAAAAATAAAAATACTTAGATTTTAATTTGTTATTTACGTTACTAAGTTAAACATTTTTATAAATTCTAGATATTTTTTTTATATAAATAAAATAAAAATCATGAAATCGTAATAATTGCTAAAATCCTGGATTCTCGATTTTTTATTTGAAAATGTGTCTTATTAGTTCATTCGTTCACTGAAAACACGTAAAATCCACTCGAATAAAAAGCAAATAAAATTTATATAGCTTTGCCATCTATTGTCTTCTAACTTTATTAACTTCCTTTTATTGTCAATCATTTTCAAATAAAACTAACTGATGTATCTTAATTAATAAAATAGTAAAATCTGCATTCATTTCCTATTATAATTTTAATAGTTTAATGATTTTTCGTTATAATAAGTTTTCTTCAAAACGTGACTATTTAAGAAAAAAATGTGAATATTTTATGAATTCTCGTTATTCACTGTATTACATTAGTTGTAATAACAATGTTACTTTTTAAGAAAATGTATACAAAATGTGTGTATAAAAATAAATAACTATGATTTTACAAAGGCGATCATTCAGAAAACATAAAATTGGCTATAAAAACGCGTTTCGCTTTGTAGTAGACTTTACAAGAAATTCCCTCATATTCGTTTCATGCGCTAAATGAAAAATCGTAAATACGAGAGCAGCTATAAATCTTTTTTTTTACCTTTTTATGGAGCTAAAAGGTAGTGAAAAATACTTATTTTTTTGGAATACGAATCATCAATTTAAAGTTCAGTTTATATGAGAATATTCATAATGTATGTAATAATATATAAAAGCAACAAATTTTGTGTTGCTTTTAATCCAATTAAAAAGTGAAGTGATTATCGAAAAATTATGAAATTATGTAATAAAACTCTTTAATTGTACAATAAAATCATCAGATTATTAATATCTATAATAGAATATAATTCACAACGAGTTTACATTAGTGAATATCAAAAACAATATCGAAATTACAATCAAATTTCGTTATATAATTCGTCATTATTTAGTCAAGTTTTTATGATGATCAATTATATAATTAAATCTGTATTTGCATCAAAATGTATTTTATTAGAGAAATAATAATTAATACATTCGTTAAAAAATGTAAGTTATGCAATTAAAACGCAGATAAATAAGATTGAAGGAAATGTGTGCATTCATTCAATAATAGTCTATATCGAAATCTCGACAACCGAAATCCCGTCAATCGAAATCCCGACGTTAGAAATGGGACCATGTGCAACATTTTTATTATTAATAAAACAATAAATTAATATAAATTTATTATATTTTCTTGATTTTGTTGAATTATTAATAATTATTAGATTATTAATTATTGTTATTTATCATTAATAACAATTTAAAAGTGACTTTGATACAGTCGGGATTTTGATTGGCGAGATTTCGATTGCTACCGATTTAATAAATAGAAGAATAAATTAAATTTAAAAAACTACTATTTTCGTGGCGCCTAAAGGAATGCAGGAAAAAAAGACAGACATGTGGCGCTTATCGGAAATACGTACAAAAACTATGAATGAAAATAAGGAAACAATGAATGAGACGTAGTAGTAAAAAAACGTAAAAAAAAACAGATGTCTATAAAATTCAGTCTAGCCTGAGAGATAAAACTAATTTATTCTAAATTCCAGCGACAAGAGACAA